CTGATCTCCGAGAGGAAGCCGCATCGCCGTTGAGAAGGCATCTCTTAGCGAGCATGGATAGAGTCTGAGGAAGCCGGACGTCTTCGTCACCTTCAGCCATCCTGTGAGCTAACGGCATCCGGCGACGTATCCTTACATTTGTATTTTGCTTATGTAACTTCACAAAAGAGCAGCGAGCGTCTTTTTAAGATGCCTCGCACACCTGCGGCTCATGCACGCCCCTCTCAGCGTCAGAGTCCCGCGCTGTATGAGGGACGAGCCGCTTACAGCTGTGCCGACCCCGGCTAGCTTTCTTTACTTTACAAGAGAGCTAGCCCGCCCCCCGTGCATAGCTTCACCGAAAATGGTTTTATGGTGTGTTAGTTCCACCGAGGCTGGACCTGTTCGCCACTATCACGCCCTCTTATCTGCTCTCGCAGACACATCAGCTTGTGTCTTTACTTCTGTGGCTCAGTGGCAAAACACAAAGCTTGTGCGAGCCATCACGCACAAGCACTGTAAGCGTGCTCACACACTTGTTCAGCCCGCTATGTGTTTACACATACATATACATGTGCCTTTTGTGTAGAATATGTGCCCACAGTCCTGTGTTCACCCATACACAAAAGCACCACACTCCCTGTGTCTCTGTCAGAGCCCACTCACATAAAACGGACACAGCCCGCTCGAGTGTCAGAGTGCATAAGTCTACTGCGCATGCGCCCCCTTCAGCTTTGGTTGAAGAGCCGCGTGTCTCACCGTGCGTGGACCACGGGCCGCCAGCTGATCAAAGTTACGCAGACCTGTATCTCTGCTCTGCAGCCATAGACAGTGGCAGAATGGTTTCAACGGGGCGTTACCATGGGGACCGTCTATCACCGAAAAGTCATTTCGACAGACGCATCCAACTCAGGTTGGGGCGCGGTCTGCCAGGGCTCACCGGCCTCTGGCCACTGATCAGTTCAAGAGAGCTCCCTACTGTCTAGAGATGATCGCGGTCGAGAGCGCGCTCGTGTTTTTCCTCCCGCGTGTTCGGGGTAACCACGTATTGATCCGCTCGGACAATACTTCTGTAGTCTCCTATCTCAACCGTCAGGGCGGTGTCAGATCCAGGAACCTCTTCCTGCTTACAAAACGCATTGGATCTCTTTGCGTCAGAGGAGAACGCTCACTGCCCAATATTTTTCTCAAAGAGCGAGGACGCGCTAGCCCAGGAGTGGCCCAGCCGCCCACTTTATGCATTCCCTCCGGTCACCCTGTTGCTACAGGTCTTACAGAGGATCAGGGAAACACGCCACTCGGTGCTCCTCATAGCCCCTCGTTGGGAGAGTCAAACTTGGTTCCCGGAGCTCGCTCAGCTGTCGCAGACAGCCCCGTGGCCCATTCCAGTGAGAGTAGATCTCCTTTCTCAAGCTCGCGGCGCAATCTGGCAACCCCATCCTCACCGCTGGGCGCTTCATGCTTGGGTGATCAACGACTATCCGTTACTTTGCCAGAGGGAGTGTTAAACACGATCATGAACGCCAGAGTGGCTTCTACTAGGAAACTCTATGCGTCAAAATGGTCTGTGTTCTCAAAATGGTGCACCGACAAAAACCTAGACCCACTGCGGTGCGAGGTGTTGTCTTGCTCGTCTTCTAACAGGAGATGCTGGAGAAGGGCAGGTCCCCATCCACTCTCAAGGTTTACGTGGCAGCTGTCGCGGCGTTCGCTGAACGCTCTGGGAAAAGACGAGCTAGTCATCCACTTCCTCAGGGGAGCTAGAAGGATGAATCCCCCTTTGGTTCCCTTTTGAGATCATTCTATAGTTCTCGAAGCTATGAAAGCCCCCCGTTCGAACCATTAGAGTCTGTGGACCTAAAATACCTTTCGCTAAAAAACGTTTTTCTGATTGCCCTGTCATCAGTTAAACGCGTGGGAGACCTTCAAGCGCTCTCTTTAGCGCAGCGTGTCTCGAGTTTGGACCCAATGACTCTATATTCATCCTCAAACCTAGACATGGCTATGTCCCCAAAGCGATCGGTACCCCGTTCAGGGCTCAGGTTATTTCCCTATTGGCTCTGCCTGCATCCGATAGTGAATGTGACGCCAATCTCCTTGGTCCGGTTCGGGCTCTGAGATTGTACACTATAAGTGCTGCCGCGTTCAGACGCTCTGAGCAGCTTTTCGTTTCGTTCGGTGGGCTTACTGAAGGTCTGGCTGCCTCGAAACAGACACATTTTTTCTGTTTAGAAGACACTATTGCTTCTGTTTATGTGTCTAAAAACCTGCCATGCCCTCTGGGCATCAGCGCTCATTCCACTAGATGCATGGCCTCATCGTGGGCATAGTCCAGCGGCATTTCCATTCAAGACATAAGTGTGGCAGCAGGATGGGCTTCCCCTTCCACCTTTGTCAGATTTTACAATCTGGAAGTACCCACCCTGCAGGCTAAACTACTAGCAGTCTAGTATGCTTCAGCTCTTCTGTTTGAGCTGCACTATTGGGAGTCACACTCATACAACTGGCGTGCTGCTTGTTCTTCCCTCGTGCTTATGTACTTCACAATCCCGGCCCGCTTGCTGGCCCTTTCATGTTCACGTACATTATTAATTCCCACTTATAAGGGTCCCCCGGGACTCATTGTGGATGCTTAGCGCGCACGGCGTTGACCATGTGTTTCCGTAGCGTAAGCTATCTTACGCAATACGAGAGAACCTCTCGTAAGAGAACAAATTGGTTACCTAAAGTAACCTAGATGAGGGAACGAGTATTGTGTTCCCAGCCGTGCTTGCGCTACTAGTGTACTCGCTTCATTTAATGAAAACCGGAAAACAGCGAGAAACTCGCCTATTTATAGACTTGGGCCACACTGTTTTGGCGGGCTTTGACGCAATGAGTGCGTGTCAGCTTCTCATTGGCCGCGAGTTCAACCGAGTTCCCTCATAGGTTGTAGCAGTTCTCCCTGAGCGAACCAATGAGCTGCTAGCCCGCTCATGGTCTGCTGCAGTGAACTGCGTTGACAATGGATACAAAATTAAAGGATAATTTTTTGGCTTCAACTTCTCAGAAAAGATTAATCTTTCCCGTAGCGTAAGCTAGCTTATGCAATACTCGTTCCCTCATCTAGAGAGAACCAAGGTTAGGTAACCGATTCATTTCTTTCAAAATGCTTTTCTTTGCTCTCAATGCAATTTCTTGCTCTCAAGTCACATTGCGAAAATTGTGTCATGGGCGGGGCCACGTTCCTATTGGCCTGTCGGGTGAGCGTCATCTTGTCTTGAAAGTCAAATTGAATCATTAAACCATTGTTTGGTTCACCCAGAGCCATTTATTGAGAGAGTTACGACAAGATTTGATGTCGCCGCAAGGCTGTCACGTGGTTCATGGAAGCCCCAATAGTTCCAAAACAGACGCGGGCTTTCATGTTCTTCAATGGACAGACAACAGCGATCGCATTATTAAACTGTAAATTTAAAATAAAACACACATCTAAGTACTTTTAAAGCTGCTACTGCATTTGGTTAATGTCAGTGTTGCATTTGGAGAGACAGGGTGACAACTTAAGAGACGTTTTAGGCTATATTTTTGGAGGGAAAAGCTCAGTGTTCATGTTCGCATTGGTAGTTGCACTGGCTTTAGCGGCTCTAACTTAACTTTTCTGACAATGGACGTCTCATGATATTTATTTTAGCACAACTGGGATGTATTGGGTTATTGATTCCCGTGATCTTGCTTATAAATTCAGATTCAGCCAATGACAATTAATAGGTAATCTTCATTGCCATTTAAGTGAAATTACTGAACTTAAATATACAAGCTTGATAAAAATGGTCATTTTAGAAGAAAATTTCAAATGGCATTTAGAGGCTTTTGCATCTGAACTCTTCATACATATATATATTTTATTTATTTATTTTTTAATGTATTTTATTTTGTATAGTGATATGGACCATTGTATGTCCTAAATAAAGATATGATGATGAATTAATGAGTGAATTAACAATGTTCCTAAATACGATCCATAACTAATAACTTGGGACTCCATAACTTGGGACTCAATTCAGTATGGCCAGAGACTATTTATATAGAGACATGCCACTTCCTCAGGCCTTAATACAAATGTATAGGGAAAACCCGTAACACCAAAGATGGCGGTTGTGTGAAAATGTCCCGCCCCTCCCGCTGGACAGCCAATCGTCTGCTTTTAACGGTCAAGCTGGGAAACATTTAAATACTGTTTGAAAAGGCGGCAGATTTGATATGCAGTGTATGTGTGCGTTGTGTAAATATCAGACATCCCAAGTCTCCCAGAAGTTCCGGGTGTCTCCCGCAGATTGATAGAGGCTCGCTGATGCCCGCAAATTAGTTAATATCTCTAGAGTGAGAAAGAGCGCGCACATACTGTGTTTTAAACTGTGCAGCGCGTGCGCAACAGAGCGCGAGAGAAAGAATAACCTCTGGGAAAACGGCGTTTTAAACCTTATTTTGGGGCAAAGTCATCAAACTTTTTCAGCAATTTTTATTATATTTTACTGCTGTTTCTATACATGCAGTTTTTATGTCCCGGTGACCAGTGAAAGTGCAGTTCTGACTCTCTCTCTCATTTAGATAGAGCCTGGTCTTGTTAAGTCCGAAATAGCTGCCCGGAGGTGTTGCCAGGATGGCGGCCGAGTGGCATGACTTGCCTGAAAGGACTTGGGTATGGCTAATGTACCCCTAATGAAGCTACTCCAAGACACCTTCGTTATGCGTACAAATGTGAAGTAATGACGCAAACACAAGCTCAAATTTCCAGCGGAAATCCACCAGTACCACTGCAATTATGAAACATTACAAGCGTTTTGAATCTTAGCTTGCTAAGGCAAGCAGAGATTTTTGAACACTGGTTATGTACTTGCTCAAATGTATTTTGGGTAATTTTTAACCCCAAAAAGTTACAAACTGGAGCTTTAAGTCTATTATTTACATAAGATGTATTTATATATGATCAAGGCTGTTTCATAGCAGTGATGCAAAGCACACTCTTTATTCCAGAGAAATATTGTGCATACTCTTTATTCAAGAGAAAAATTTAAAGCTCAAGTAAATGGATAGCGCTTTCACAGACCCAATGGCCACCAAAGCACTTTACATATTGCCTCACATTCGCCTATTCACTCTCTCATTCATACACCAACGCCGGTGTATGCCATGCTAGGTGCCATCCAGCTCGTCGGGAGCAGCTGGGATTAGGTGACTTGCTCATGGACACCTCAACACTTGGTTAGGTGGAACCGGGGATTTAACCACCAACCTTCTGGTTTGTAGACAACCTACATGAACCACTGAGCCACTGCCGCCCCAGTAATAAAGCTCCAGTAATAAGAACACACTTCAAATGATTAACTTTTTAACAGATCATTCTACAAAACCAAATCTGTTGGTGTCTGACAAGTAGCATGTTGATGATTAATTACATAAACACCCTATTTTTTTGTGTTTTTTACAGATGTTTGTTAATATACACAAATATCAGATTTCCAGGTGATATGGAGAGAGTCGAGACCAAATAAAACTATTCAACAAAATGTGAACATCAGCCCAAATTATATTTTGTTTAATTTTCTTCCGTCGAATCCTCCAAGTCCTTAAAGCCAAGTTTTTCAAGGGGTTCCTTCGCCATTAACTGTCTGTAAAGTAAATAAAATGTTTATAATTAGTTTCTAATGTATTTGAGCAGAAATTTTCAACTTCAGGTTAAACCATGTCAAGAAAAACTCACTTGTCCATCCTGCACTCCAGATACTCCTTTGACTCTATCCGACAGCACGAGTTGTCAAAATTCTTGTCTCTGAGGCATTGCATATATTTCTCTTTGAATGATTTACATTCACCTATGTAAATAAAATTGTGAAAATATGTTAATTCAAAGTCTTATGCTGCGTGCCAATTTGCATACTATATAAATAGTACCAGCTCTTAGTGGTTCCCTCTATGATAACAGTAACTTTCTCAAATATTTACAAAACAAGCGGGAACCCATTGTGCCTGTATCTTTTTCAATTGATGTTCTATTACATGATAGAAAGTCCAAGTCCTTCAAAAGCCGTAAAGCAAACCCAACTAATCTTTTAAACATCCGCTCACTTAAAAAAGAAATCACTTCTAGCCAACGACTTAACCACAAACAACCAGGATTTTATGGTTCTCAATGAAACATGGCTAGAAGACAGCTGCAGTGCAACGGTCCTCAATGAAACATCCCCTCCTAACTTTACTTTTTTAAATGTGTCTGCACAGCAGTTGTGAGAGGTGGGGTGTAGCTGTTCTTTTTAAATATATCTATCAATGTAAGCAAATATTATTTGGGAATTACCCAACTTTCGAATATCTGGGTATTGTGTTAAAAGGTACTCCACGCATTTTACTTATTTACCAGTCTCCAAAATACTCTCCAGCCTTTGCTGAGGACTTTACTGAAATGTTATCATCAATTACCTCAGAGTTTGACTGTTTTGCCATTGCTGGATATTTTAACATCCACATAGATAATGCAGAAAACAATATGGCAAAATAAATCAAAACTGTTTTAAAAACTTTTGATCTGACTCATGTACATGGACCCACACACAATCGTAGACACACTCTAGATTTACTTACCAGTAAGGGTCTAAACATTTCATCGATTATCATTAAGGATGTAGCACTATCTGATCATCTCAGTTTTTTCTTTGATATATTGATCTCTCGTGCCATTGAAGCTAGATCTGTGTCCAAGAAGAGATAATCAAACAAGAACACTAGTGTACTATTCTGCCTTACAAAGGCAAAAGTCCTTAAGTCGCTAGAGTGTGGAACTGAGAAAAATGACTTTAAAGATTTTTAGTTGTCCCGCCAAATTAATTATAGGCAGGACACTGAAAATGTGGCAATTTGATGTTTAAAGGAGTAGTTCACTTTTTTTTTGTAACTTTTGCTGATAATTTACTCATCCCCATGTCATCCAAGATATCCATGTCATTCTTTCTTCAGTCGAAAATTAATTAAGGTTTTAGATGAAAACATTCCAGGATTTTCTCCACATAATGGACTTTACTGGTAACCAAAGAGTTCAAGGTCCAAAAGACAGATTCAGTGCAAACTGCAAACTGCTAAAAAGGGCTTTAGACGATTCCAGACGATGAATAAGGGTCTTATCAAAGCAAAACGATCGCTCATTTAAAAAAAAGAAAATAAAGTTTAAGTTTTATAAGCTCAAATGGTCGCCTTGCTCTTTTCTGTGATGCGCGTTCGTGACTCTCCTGTTCAAACTCGTTCATCAAAATGAACAAATCTTTTTATGAGTCAATTCGTTCATTTCGTTTGTTGAATGAACCAAATGACATGATAAAAGATTTGTTCACTTTGATAAATCAAAAACCTTAATTTCTTTTCAACTGAAGAAAGAAAGACATGGACATCTTAGATGATCTGGGGGTGAGTAAACTATCAGCAAAAGTTTTTAAACTTGACTTTTGACCACTATTTTAAAGTTACTGTTCTCTGCCTTTGTATTGTTAGCAAAAAGTGAGAATTCATGCCAAGGCAAAAGGCAGTAACTTCCACATTATCAATATTTGGTTGCTGATCACCATTAACAAAATCATTATGTATAAAATCTAGTGATCATGACATTTATTTTGTGTGATTTACAATTACCTATAGTCTTCTACTTATTGTGCTTTGGTTGCATTCTGGTGGCCAATACATTAGACATGACAAAATACCTCCAGTGGTAAAGACTAAAGAGTATTTTCAAGTGTCCGAGTTGCATAAGAATTGCTAAACACATATTCAAAATGATTACGATAAAACAGATCCTCGCGCACATTCGACCCGGAGACTGGTTTATAGCGGTGCATCTGAAAGACGCATATCCACAGGCATTTGTTTTCCCGAGATTTGTGTTTGAAAGTGTCTCGCTCCGTTCACCCCTTAGGACTCAGTAGGGAGCGTGTTCTGGAATATCTTGTGACTTTTTTGTTTTTGCTGATTTTATGCTGACATTGTAAAAAAGAGTGGACACATTAATAACAGGGAAGACAAGAGGTAATGAATGGATGGATGATTTCCTGTCTCTCACAAACAACCAGTTACATTATTACTTAACTGGATTTGGGAAACAATATGTAAAAACACTGCCAAGAACTTTAAATGCACTTCTTGAACTTTAAACATAATTTAATTTCCCAATCACGTTGTAAACTCTCAGTGTCCACTCTGTTATGTCTTCTGACTTGACAGGGTGAACACTAACAGCAGACATTCTGACCTAAAATCAGCCAATGCACAGTGTCTGTGCATAAAAGCTAACATAGAATGATTTTCTGATAAAGAATTGCATGGTCTTTAAATATGTAATTAGACTTTTCTACTAACTTTTTTCCCTTTTTAAAGTTTTCCCTTAACAGGGGTGTAGTAAGGTTGACCACATCAAATTTGAAAAATAAAATTGGTGGAAAAAAAGTAAATAAAATAAAAATAGACCATTGAATAAAATAGAGGATCTCACTCAATTTCCCAAGTTGTTTTCCCTCCAAAGATGAGCTGGCAGCTTTATGATATGCCATTTAATTTTTCCAACTTTCATTCAAAGAGGAAGTAGTCAAAAATAAGAGGCTGGACAATAAATTAAGGAACAAGCTAATAACTGAAATAAATGTAATAATTAAAAAGAACATTCACATTAGAGATAATCTTTACAGATATACTCAAGAATGTAAAAAATAATAAAAATGTACAGTAAGTGTTGCATTTATCATGAAATTGGGATACATTGGAAATTTAATTTCATAGTAATTCAAAATGTTGTAATATGCTCAAATTAGATTTATATTAGGCCTATTATTTTTAAATCAACTTAATATAACGTTACTTAGAATTCAAATGTCGTTATTTATGACTAAGACATGTTTAAAAATGATATATTGTTCCACATTAAAGGCAGTAATGGCATGATATTCTTTACTGAGGACACAAAAGGCACCGATCCCCAGGAATGACACAATAAGCGCAAAAGACGCAATTATTACGACGTGCTATCTCTCAAAGCTTGTACTTGTTCTTCACAAAAACAGTAAATACTTTTGAGTGAATTGGGACGCAGAAATGGTGACTGCTTGTTGCTCAACGGTAACTACATGCGCTTATCACTTACCGAAATGATCCAAAGGAAACGATCCTTTGTCCGGTGCACGGGGTCGGAACGACTTGGTTCCGAAGTTCATCGCTGTTGACATTGTTTCTTAAAAGGTCTAACTACAACATTTACTGATTAAGAAGGACGCACTTTCCTTCTCATCCTCCTCCTTCTTCTTCTTTCTTGGTGTTTTTGGGCAGTTGGCATTCAAAAAAAGTTGCATTACTGCCATCTGCTGTTTATTATCTTGTCACTTCATACTTATATTCGTTTTTCCAGTCTCTTTAGAAAATAAATATTAATTTTATGAACTAAATTAAAATACAAATATATTTACATTTTATTTTTTATATTAAAATGAATAATTAATAAATATTGATTTCCTTGTTAACTCTCCCATATTCTAATATATATTTTCTTTACATTATATATTGTCCTATAACAATTTCTTGTAAATTATGTTTCAACTCTTGCCTTTCTTGTGTAAATTTCCTGCATGAGAAAAAAATGTGACTGACTGTTTCCTCCTAGCCTCTTGACATTCATCACATCACATTGACTTGTGGGTTGTTTTCCATTTACCTTACTATGTCCAGTCCTAAGTCTTGTTAATACAACTTGCTCTTTTCTTCTATTTGACATCTCTCTTATAATACCTACTTTATTTTGAAACATGTTTAAATGTTTTCCTTTACATTTATGATCCCATTGGTATTGTCATATTTTCATTACCCTTTTCTACACTAGACTCACCTTCGGATTTTGAAAATTTAATTTTAATGTCAACATATCAACAATTTTAATGTCAACTTTCTCATTTCCCTCCCTGTATGACCACATGTGCTAGTATCCACATATATATATATAATATTTTTCCCTTGTCTAGCTACATACCCTTGAATTTATAAACAAGATTTCATATAATATTTCTTGACTACTAGCTTTTCCAGTCTTCATACTCATAAGAGCTGATACAGAGTCACTACATACTAAAATGTTGCTATCCTTGGATTGTTCGATCCATTATAATGCTATATAGCACATAATTCAACAGCATAAACATTTAGGTTGTCAGATGTTCTTTTGCTAATGCCTATCTCATATTTAGGGATGTATATACTGCAGACCCTGTTGCATCTGATTGTAGGTCCTTTGACCCATCTGTGAAAATCTGAATATGCCTACTATCTTTATACTAGTTAAATTTCTAATTTTCATTGGTTATACAGTATCTATACTTCTATATTATTGGTAAAAAGCTCTAATTCAATGTTCAGAATTTCAAGTCCAAATTGTTTTACAGGCCATAACACAGTATTAGCAACTCTTTTATCATACACTTTCATTTCTTTTGCAATTAAATCACCTGTCCAGCCAAAACTTTCTTTCTTTCTTCTCCCCTTTTCTAAGCACTTCTATAACACCTTTTTTGTTGGATGGTTATCCTCATGCACTCTAAGATTTATCCAATAGTTTGCTGACAATTGTTTCCGTCTAAGCCACAATGGTATAATAGTTATAATATTAATCCCATAGTAATAGCCATAAAGGCTATTGTAAAATAAATGCACTGAAAAATAAAGGAAACTTTCATAATTAATTTTGCACAAATTTCTATACTTGAAAGATATAAGCGCATAATGACGCATAATGATTTCATGGGCCAGTGTCAGAAAAAAAACTAAAGCTGACTTTTTTTGACCAATGCATTACACCAGCACAGCGCCGCCAATTAAGCAAAGAACAAAACAAACAACAAACAAACAAATGGGCCGCCGATGTATGAGTTTTGTGGGCCGTTAAGACAAAAAAAAAAAAAAAAGATGAGATGTATCGGCTGAAAAAGCACGTCGGCCCAGCAGGAATCTCAGTTCCGATAACCACCGAGATATAGATAGCCTATGCCTGGATGTCACATTTTAAATCCTACCTGTTGGCTTTCAGCAATGCATGCAGTTACTTAGCTGCTGTCGCATCAATTGACATTCCATCTCCTTTTCTCTCTTTCTTTTTCTATTTTTAGCCCCACAGCATTTTGTTTTATCCATCTTTTTCGACGACAACTCACTACTTGTACCTGCTCGCTCAGCGCTCACTCATATAGCGCATACCCACTTTTTGCGCCACTGTAACGCACTCTCGATGACAGCTACATCCAGGCAGAATGACTTGTTGGGTTGATGATGTTAGAGAGTGGCCTTCAGTCACAGATGAAGGTACAAACTATCTTACAGATTATTTATGAAAATAGCTTGACGGTAAAACTCCTAAGCGGTGAGCAGCCGGTAACAAGAAGTAGACGAATGAGAACTTCCTCGTCTCAGTTCTCGCGCATGCGCCCATAAGGAAGTAATGGAATAGTGGAATAAAGTCGTCATTTATGTTTTTTTCGCACAAAAAGTAGTCTCGTCGCTTGATAAACTTATAATTGAGCCGCTGTAGGCACATGGAATATTTAAACCTTTTCTTTAATGACTTTATGGGCCGTCAAGAGCCAGTCCCTTAGGCAGTCTATGTAGGACTGATCCAGCTCTCAGATTCAATCAAAAATATCTGAATTTGTGTTCCTAAGATGAACGAAGGTCTTACGGGGTTGGAACAGCATGGGGGTGAGTAATTAATGACTTAATTTTCATTTTTGGGTGAACTAACCCTTTAATAATACTTGTGTTTTTCTAATTGAAACGATTGGCTATGAGCTATGTACAGGCGCATTTGATATACATTCTTAGCACCCAATAAACGGCGCCGGGCATTCGTAAACCACGCCTCAAATACGAGAAATTGTGCATGTGGTTCCCAGACCCAAGTCTCAACGAGAATTGGGTCTGGCGTTAGCCAGGCTAGGATTCATCTATATTAGAGGCAGTCAACAGTGACTTCCTTCTCTTTTAACTTTCATCCAGCCGCAAACACTGTTTCGGGTGATACGGGGGAACCCCTCCCCCTCCCTGGGGCCCCAAGGGCTACAGCAGGCCTTCATAGAGGAGAGAAAAGACTATCTCACAATGAACCAAGGTCATTCTCAGGAGTTTGTAACCAGGACTCCAACCAACAATGACTCCAATCACCCACTTTTCTGACTTCCGCACCTCTCCTGGGTGCTCGACATGTCCTCAACAGGCCCCAGGCCTTGACCAAACTAGCCATGTGGTCAGGGAGAAAGATAACTTTCAAACAAACTTTCACTTGCCACGGCTGGAACACTCAGATCAGAACAGATGAGCTAGCTAGTTCATCAAAAGAAAACATCACAATTTTTTTTCAAAACTTCCTTTTTATTTTTTTATAATAAGCATATTGTATGTTCAAAATGCAATGCAATGGTATTTAATGCACTGAAAATCTTTGATTTGGATTTGTTTTGGATTGGTCACAAGGATTTCTAATGTCTAACCATTTGTTCAGGAGGGAACATGTTTTACTTTACATCTCCACTAATAGCTTTGGCAAACAGCAAAATGTTTAAGTTAATTTGAATTGAAAGTTAATTAGCAAATTCCATAAATATTTTATGTGCAAACTGATTTCCTGTTTTATGACTGAATGACAGGGCAAAACTCAAAAAAGTGTGGGGTATGACATCACTAATAATAGAATAAGCTATTTCAGTTAAAGTGTTGTCATGTCCATGTGGCTAACTGAGTATTTTACATATTTTATTCACTGAACACAACTAATTCACAAAATATATATTTTAAAATAATAATAAAAAAATCTATAAAGAAATGCTGTACTGTACATTAATTTTCGATCATTTTAACACACATCCCATTCTCACAGAGTGGAGTTAGCAGATTTGCTGGTCACAATCTTATCTTCTTTACAATTACTACTTAGAACAAATTAACCTTATTTTACCATAAACAAACAGCATAAAAGATGCTGCAGGGTGGCTGACAAAGTGGCTCAAGTGATCCCTTAACAATAACAGCTTCTCACTGAACCTTTGTGTTGTTCTTAAAATCACTTAAGAAAAAAGGAACTCTTTCTTTATTCCATGCCTTCTCTGCACTGCTCTGCCTCAATGAAACCCTCTTTCTCATAACCCCCAAGATCAACCTCAGCGTAGCTGGAGTGGCATCCTTGATTCCGAAACTTCATGGAGGGCCAATAGTTATTGGTGCGACGCTGTGAAAAAGCATTTTAAATGATGAGTTGATCTAGAGAATAAAGTAAAAGGGATGGATGGATGAATTGATTTGCGCTTACCTGCATGAGGTAAATAGGAGGAGCAACAGTTGGATGTGTGTTAATGTAGTAGACAGCCAAGAGGGTCAAGAACACAAGTAGAACCAGAGCTACGACTACACCTGCAATGATGGCTGTGTGTTCTGGTGCCTCTTCCTCATCTGGAAGTGTAAAAGAAAGTGAAGCAATGATAAACAGGGACACAAAGTGGTTATTTTCAGTTTGAAAAATACAAAAATGTTTTCATTAATAAATGTGGATGTGCAAAAGTTTAATTGAACACAGAGAGCAGATAAGACCGATGGATGATTCAGTTCAGCATATTTATGGTGAATCACAAGCAAAATCATGAGGTCTAAATCAGTGCAGCACCAAGCAACATTTAATCTGACGCAGAAGCTGCATTCGAATTGAACTTGTAAAAAAAGCTGCCAACAGACTCTGAATCAGAGGATGAAGAGGGGCCCAACGGGGCTCTGGCCCGCAACAGGGCAGACTCCAGTGAGGGTTCACTCATGAGGGAGCCAATCCACAGCTTTCTGCCCCGGCCCGCAAGTATCTGGGCAGCCCTGCCACTTCTGTCCCTGGCAAGTGACTTCTCACTGGCAGGTAACGCAGTTCAAAAGAAAAGGGCAGCAATGAGCTCTGAAAATGTGAACAGCCTAGTTTGTCTCAGCAACTGACTGAAAGTGAAGTATAATAGTCATTGAGGTATCCTGAGGCCAATGGGGTTGTTGTTACTAAAAGGCAACAGAGCGATTTATTTTCCATCAGTATATTGGAAGAATAGGGACTGAGGTCAATCACTGGTACTATTTTTATTTTATTTTAAATGGTACACTTTATGTTGAACTACTGTAGGCCTATGTATTATGTTGTTGGTGCAACTGGCAATTTATGTTGAACTCTTTATTGTTTTGGGCAAGGTTATTGAGAGTTGGACTTAGTCTGTCATGGCCTCTGAAGCAACAGAGAGATGTTTTCTAATAATCAGGGTATCCAATGTTCTGAATGTACTTGAAAGTACTGCGTTTTACTTGAAAAAAAAACAGAAGGTCTACCTAGCTATAAGCTACCTGAATTTATGAAATGCACAATTTCTAAATATGCCATTGCTACACTTAATATTGTAAAAAATGCACTGATCTGCTGGACTTGGTTGAAGAACAATATTTTGCTGCTCAAGCTTATATATTCTGTCATTATTCAATGGTATACTAAAAATACATGTGAAAAAAATTACTTCTCACTGTTCTCAGGTCAAATATTTATGCGATTAATTTTGATTATGTAACAGTATCTGGTTGTGTTTCCCTGGGTTGTAACTAGAGGTCCTCATGGTGTCTTTCACATTTGACTTCATTTCCCAGCATTCTGTCAGAAAAAGATTTTTTCATTTTGATGAACGAGTTCAAACAGGAGAGTCACAAACGTCCGTCACAGAAGAGAGCAAGGTGAGCATTTGAGCTTATAAAACTTAAACTTTGTTATTTATTTATTAAATGAGCAATCGTTTCGCTTGATAAGACCCTTATTCATCGACTTTTTACTGTCAAAAGAAGTTATAATATAATTTGAGAAAATAACATAGCTGTAGTGTCCTGTTTTAAAACCTGACTGATAATCGTGAAGAATATTTTTAACCTACATAAATTGTTTTAATTGGTCACAGTATTGTAGTCGAGACCAGCTCACTCGAGTCCGAGTCGAGACAGAGACGATAGAGGGTCGAGTCCGAGTCAAGACTGAGAACAACGAGAGTCGAGTCTGAGTCGAGATCGAGACCAAAGGGAGTCAAGTCCGAGTCGAAATCGAGACCAAATAGATTTGAATCCGAGTCAAGACCGAGACCAAAGATAGTTGAGTCCGAGTCGAGAACGAGACCATAGAGGGTCGAGTCCGAGTTGAGACCGAGACCAAAGAGAGTTGAGTCGATATTTGGTGGTAACAATAAAATTGGCACCATACTCAAGGTGTAAACCAAATATACCATGGAATCATGTAGACTCTAATGGTAAAAAAGCCATGTTTTGTGGTCTGCACTTGGAATGGGTGTTTGCCTCCACTCTTCAAGTGCTTGTTTAACTGCCAGTAACATAATTATCCCCCACATAAATCCTCTCAGTCGTTGTAAGGCAGTGGGAAAGGAATGCACAAGGGTTCAGCTTATTATACCTGAAGCAGGGTAGGCCTTGCATCAGGCCTTGCAAGCAGAGTAGGCCAAGGCATCAACCTCAACGATGAAGGGAATATCTGGGTTTGGGAGAATAAGAATTGGTGAAGAAGTAAAACGTCATTTCAGTTTGTTCAAGGCCTACTCTGCTTTAGGTCCCCAGCAAAAGCTAGCTGTGTTGCCATTGGTGAGGGCAGATAAAGGAACCGCTACAGTACTAAAATTTAGGATGAATTTGCGATACGTACTTCCTTTAATGACAAAGGAGAGGGCCAATCCACAACTGCTTGCACCTTTTTAGAGTCCATTTGTATTTGGCCAGGCTTGATGATGAACCCCAGGAATTGGAAAAAATAAACTTTAAAATGTCTACTTTATTATGTGTCCATTTACAATCGAAAAAAAAACATTGTGCTTTTGTAGAATAAAGAACAGGGTATACTTTCTGCCTCTCCGTCTCCGTGAAAATTTTTTTCTGGAGCATGTCTCTTACCTTAAAACTCAGCAATTACTAATCACACAGGCAAAAGCAAAACATCTTTAGAATTATTTAAGTGTCTGCTATTAAATTATCGAATTTAAAACAAAAACAAATATTCGCTGTTTATGTGATCTGTATGAAAAGTGAGATATGTCAGTTCTCATCTGCTAATGTCAACACGCCCAGGGAGAGCGCAAACGATCTGAGGCAATCCATGCAAACCTGTCAATGCCCACAAACTGTATTGCTATACAGAGATGAGTAGAAATCGATTAAAATATGGTGAAATAAAATGTCTTTGTTTAAGCAACATATTAAACTGCAAATTAACTATGCAAACTATGCAAATCATGCAATGATGTTACAATCAATCAACATTTATTTGTTAAGCACATTTACATTCGGCCTTACAGGCCTTAAGATTACATAAGATACAGGCCTTAAGATTACACTCACCAAATTTGAAGATGATCAGATTAAAACTGTAGGAGTAGTTAAAGTACGAGGCCTGAAAATGGCGAAACTGCACAAAAATCTGAGAGGAAGTTCAAAATGGCTGACTTTGTAGGTATTGGGCATTGGCCCGCCCAATTTTGAAACTCATATCAGATTTAATTTTCACCAGTTTTCGTGCATGTTTAGGCCCTCAGAAATGCGATTCATTTCGGAGAAGAATAATAAATATAGCTGCGAGCAGCGATTACGAGCCCAAGCCGATGGCACCGCAACCCCAGTGCCTATAGTTACCAAAAGGGACCACGGTGGCTTTAGGGTTACTGTGCATGAGCAATAAGGGCAATAACATAACCCCGTTTTGACTGTTGAGAAGATGTGTGCTATAGAGCTTGCATTGGTGTGAGCTCTGCAAAAGTGTGCACTGTGCATTGAGGGCACATATCAACCACAAAGTATGCGTGAGCAACCTTATGAAACCTAAAATGAAAAAAAGAGACACCCTACGGTCTCATGGACTTAATGGACACATGAAGTAAGTACACAAGATTGAAAGTTATATGAATTGTGCCATTTTGTTTAAAGCTTTATTCAATTTATATTGCTAGAATTTATATATAAATTTATATATATATGTATATAATTTACAAATTTGACACAACAAATGGATAAAGTATTATTTTAACTTTTAAAAAATTTTTAACGTTTTTTTTTTTTACTACTCATCCGTTACACAACTAACATTTTTTTTCATAGACCAAACACAATATCAATATCTGACTTTTTGTTGGTCGGAGCTAATGACTGTAAATTAGAAAGTTGTTTGGCTTGAGGAGAACAAAATACACGCCAAGTTTTGTATCTGTCGGTAAAACTAACTAAGTTATAACACACTTTATGTGTCCTTTTTTAGTCATAAAATGCATTTCCTCGGCCAAACCGTTTGAGATATCAAAAATCCGTCCGCAATTTAGCATCCTCAATGTCTTGACTTCATGCACACCAAGTTTAGTGGTGATTGAATGAATTTATTATGAGAAACACATCAAAATAAAACCATGTGTTTACCAAACAACCCATAATAGCCGACTTCCTGTTGGGCTGGTGTGAAACTTAAACATGAAAGTTTTATTATTTCGTTTCCTTGCCACGGCCAACATTTCCTTGACACAGGTCAAGATATCAAAAATCCACTGGCAATTTTTCATTCTCAATATCATGACTTCACGCTGACGAGTTGCGTGGTGATTGGTTGAATTCTCGGAGGAGTATATCGAATTCCTGGGACATACGTTTCCAAACAAACCATAATGGCCGACTTCCTGTTGGGTTGGTGTAAAACTTAGTTAGTTCAATGCGATCAATAAGTGTACCGAGTTACATATTATTACATGCAAGCATATTTGATTTATGGACCAAGTTTACAGATCCAGTTTCAGGGGGTGCTGTCGAGCCCCCCTGCCATGCCCAGGTACCAGCTTCAGCCCGCCCCTGATAGCCATGGGTTCTGACCCGTGTGCAAAGTTTCAAGATTTTTAAAGCACGTTAAGGGCCCCAAAAGTGCCCGAAAGGTAGTAAAATAATAATAATAAAAAGAAGAAGAAGAAGAATCCTACAGAAAACAATAGGGCCTTCACCTTTTCAAGGCTTGGGCCCTAATAATAAATGGAGCAATTCCAAGAGGGTCCTCACACCATCAGTGCTCTGGTCCTCATAATAATAATATTAATAAACAGAGCAATTCCAAGAGGGTCCGCACACCTTCGGTGCTTGGGCCCTAATAATTGAATATGTTTGTAGGTCTATTTTTGCATTTATCATTGTAGCCATATTTAAGTTGATTTTCTGTATACTTTGTATTTATTTTTGGACTAAAAGTGAATAAAGTCTAATAATGGTATGAGAGAGTTTCAGAGGTAATACCATTTTGTTTCTGGTGGTCAGTGTTAGAGAATCTGTAACAACTCTCAGGCTTAGCCTGACAGTTAGCCTGCCCTGGACCAGTTTAGTTTCCCAGTATAAGTTGCCAGAGTAACTGAGTTTGAACTATTTTAAGTTTGCTTTAGGAAACAGAATCAACCGAAAATAAGTATGACTAACCAAAATAAGCCTGGATTGTATTCTAATTGTTTTATGGAACAGCCCATGCGTATGACTGTGTACTCAATGTGCTATTGACTTTAATTTATATTTGGATTACATTGTTAACTATATTCGAAATAAATTAACAGCTATATATAGGAAAAAGGCACAAAAAGAAGAATATCCTGAGCAAAAAGGATACAAAAAAAAAAAACCTCTAAAAAAAAATCTCTAAAACACAAACTCAGGAAAAAAGGTTCTGAAAACAGTAAAAATAAACTCAGGGAAACAATTCAGGAAGACCAGACGGACAGCAGTAACTGGCTTAGGAACATCAATAACCATGAGATGACTTGACTTGAAGATACAAAGAAACAGACCAGTTTAAATACACGGCACAGAGGCACATGTAAAACAACAGCACTGATCACCAAAGGCACAATATTAGACATGAGAGCAGTGTTGTATAAAGTACTAGAAAGCAATACTTGAGTAAAAGTACAAGTATCATACAAGAAAAAGACTTTGGTAGAAGTGAAAGTTGCCTTTTAGAATATTACTTAAGTAAAAGTCTTAAAGTATCTGATATATACTGTACTTAAGTATCAAAAGTAATTTTCTGATATTTAATGTACTTAAGTATTTGAAGTAAAAGTAAAAAGTTTATATATATATAACAGAGAATTCTAAACACTCCGATTGCCACCCTTACTAGACAATTAACACTATTAACACTAAAAACACTATTAACTGTTGTTTGTGGTTTGTAGCCTTTACTGTACTTGTGTTATTGTTTATCTCACACTGCATGTACCTTAAGTTAGATGCTCTACTAAGAAAGAAAAAAGCACTGTGACTTTGATCAATATACTTTGATCCTATATTCACAATTTATAACATTAGCCCAACATTATCCAATAACCACTGAGTTTTGAGGTAATTAACATTAAAGGGCACCTATTATGGAAAATTCACTTTTACATGGTGTTTGAACATAAATGTGTTGGCAGTGTGTGAGCAAAACCACCCTAGAATGATAAAAATCCACCCAGTGGTTATTTTACAATCTCAATAAATCATCTGCACTGTCTCAGAACGAGCTGTTATTATGCTTTTGAAAACGTGAATAGCCCTTAACACTTTATAACCTCCCACTGATTAACGCAGTTTTCAAATAATATTTCTCAATCTAACATTAGCCTACCTGAGGAAATATTTGGCCCAGCAGTTAACGTTATGCTATACCAGACCAGTTAAGTGTGTTTCAGTACATGTATTTGAGAGTTCTCTGTTAAATTAAATTCAACGTTAACGTTGAAGTTAGGGTTAGTTAAACATGTGCGCCATATCAGCTAATTAGCATCGTTAACAAGCAGACATTAGCCTGGCCATCACGTTAGCCAGATATCTCTAATACAGCTTATGATAACTATGTTGAGTCACTCTTATATGGTGGCATTACTGAATAACTATTAATTTAACCTACCTCGATGTGCTTCTTCAGGTTGGACGGAGAGTTTTTGAACGACAAAATTTCAATTTATTTTGGTAGGCATAAGAGGCACTTCATCCGGTAAGAAGAATCTTTCGATCCAATGTACAAAAACATTTCTTTTAAATACGGCCACGGGTGTATAACGTTATCTTCATCACTATCGTCGGGGTGGTCGTCTGTGATAACGGCAGGTCCTTCAGGTGCTTCCATGGCGGTATAGCTACAGTTGTGCTGCTTCCTCCTCCTTTGGCAATGGCAACAAACAAGCATTCGCGCTGAAAAAGAGCGTGCGTAGCGTAGCGTGATGCAATCTAGCGCAGTGATTCGCCAAACCTCCCTTATTGCAGTCGCACACATTTCTTCTGATTTTATTTTGTAGTAATGAGTAACGAAGATGCATAGTGGAAATATAGCGGAGTAAAAGTATACATTTTATCTAGGAAATGTAGTGGAGTAAAAGTGAAAGTTGACATACATTTAAATAGCGAAGTAAAGTACAGATACGTGAAATTTCTACTTAAGTACAGTAACGAAGTATTTGTACTCCGTTACATTACAACACTGCATGAGAGTTATATGGGGGCCTCTAATGGTCAAACTAAAATATTACAGAACAAAAATTCTGACAAGTGGGGTAAGAAAAGTATATCTAACTCAAGATTGGATTGGACTGTGGTCCACAGCAGAGTCAGTTGAGCTGTGAATTTTCAGTCACTATTATTCTAAATATAAAATAAATAAACCAAACAAAAATGTTTTTGGATGCAAACTCAATGCAAACTATGATCATGCCAAACTCTTTCCACTTGATTTCAGACTCAAAAATGTGCTGAAATGTTCTCATCATGAATGATTAACAGCCAAGAAACACAAAGCCATTAACTGACTCACCATTGCCATGATGGTGAAAGAGAAGTTTTGTGTCATCTGTGGAGGAAAGAGACTGTCGTTGTACAGAGCGATGCAAGCACAAGACCACGAAGGACAACAAAATAGTATTTAAGCTCTGCATGCAAAATGCACAAAAGAACAATGACATACATTACTATTGTAGCTGTAAGACCTTAAGGATCATGCAAATTAATCCTTAGTCATCAAAATGCTGCAGTTATGAGTGTGATGGGTTATGTATCATGGTTCTTATGTATGTCTTGGACATACTCGCCTTCGGTCACTGGACTGGCGGGTAGAGCTGCAGGAGGAGGAGTCATCGATGGCATTGAAGAATTAAAAGGGCTGATTGAACTCTCTGGGCTTCCCTGAGCATATTCGTCACATGTGCCTTTTGCCTTAGACAAGAACATACCAACTCGTATTATTATTTTTTAAAAACAAGTACATGTGAGTAAAAAAAAAAAAAAAAAAAAAAAGCATTCACTTTGTTAATGGCCTATTCACTTTCATGATGCTAACATGGCCCATGTAGACACCATAATTGGCATATGAAGTAAATAATGAATTATTATAACTTATTATTAAGGGTGTTACAAGATCTCATGCCACGAGATCTCACGAGACTAAAATGTGACAAAATTTCTTGTCGGGTGAAAAGCTGTCTTGCAATATCGCAATGGCAGATAGTGAGGGTGAAATTAGCATCTAATTTTTCCATCACTACATTCACATTACATTACATTGCCCACTGTCATTTTCCTGTTTTTTGTTTGTTTGTTTTTTTAAATAAAAACCTTTGTAAACTATTGTAAATGTCTGCTCTGCTTATCCAGCACGAGTTGCAGTCGCACACAGTGCAGCAGGAATCACAGTTCACTGATCACATGATGATGGCGATGGAATTATTTTATTTATACTGTTTTTATTTATATGCCGAGATAGCATGGTGACATTGATACAATGTTGAGTTTTGATCCAAACTATAATTTTGGTTGAGATTGACATTTCAATGTTTAGTGTATTGTGCGTTGGATCAGCATTGAAATTGTGTTGGAACAGCGTGTTGGATCAAGTGTGTTGGATCAGCATTGAAATTTTGATGAAAGCCAACAGCACGCATGGGTGGAGACAATGACATTGAACTAACAGTGATTTGTAGTTGATGAGCACAAAACAATTTAAGCCCTGTTTACATGAAAGGAAGACGCAGACATTTCCCTGCCGTTTGGCCTCTCATTTACATGAAACCTCAGTTTTTATCACAGAAAACGTACTCGGTTACTAAACCTAAACAAAACTTACCAAATGGTGTGTTGAGGGATTTAGGCACGTATCCGTGTCTTGGTTTGAGTATGACCTTCGAGTCATTAGGCCCAAATTCCAGACACGTTGCGCTTACTGAGAGCACTTGTAGATCGATCCCCTATGTGCTTCACTGACGCAAAAGCCATGAGAAATACTATTTTGAAAGACAAGTGTTTCATGTCCGACATCTGGATTGGCTCGAATGGGGCCCTTTTCAAGGTTTCTAGAAACATGGAAAGGTCCCATATGGGGATAGAGGGGGGTCTGGGAGGATTCATTAGGACTGGGAACCAGGCCTGGTTCATCCAGAGCAGAGCCACAAGGAGTATTGAGCATCCGCTTTCCCTGATTCGCAGGAGCCAGACTGGTGGAAAATCATAGAACGGACAGCGGGACCAGACATGGGCCAGTGCATCCTTGCTCTTGGAGAAAAAATTTTGGGCAGTGAGCATTCTCCAGGGACGCGAATAGGTCCACCTGTGCTCTGCCAAATATCTCCCAAAGCAGGGGGATTGTCTGCAGGTGCAAAGACCATTCCCCAGCAGGTATATTGTTTCTAGACAGACTGTATGGCCCCAAATTCCAGGGGCAAGGCACGTGTGCTGCTCTCAGTGAGCACAGATTGTGCTGAGCCCAGATCAGGATGCATTCCATCAGTCTGAAAAGGTTTTGAAACTGGATGCCGCCCTGGCGATTTATGTAGGATACAGATGACATGTTGTCCGAGCAGACTAAGACATGGCAACCTCTTATTCAGGGACAAAAACGCCTCAGCACGTTGTCCACTGCCAACATTTCCAGACAGTTTATATGAAAGAGTTTCTCTCGTTCTGACCATTGGCCGTAGAACGGTCTGCCCTTGTGCAGTGCTGCCCATCCCGAGGTGGAGGCGTCCTTAGACACCACCTGCACAGTCGAGGAAGTCCCCAGGCAGGTTTACACCAGACTGCTCAGACTGCCTTGCTCTCCAAGGTTTCAGGGCTATGACACATTCCTGACTGACCCAGAGGCGAAACAGACCGGAGGCCCAAGTAAGGCCCAATACATATCCAAATCTGATGAAAGACCTGCGCCTGGACAGCAGGACAAAATATGCAAATACTGACAAGCCGCTGGCAGTATGAATTGCATGTGCTCGTCAATTGCATCAGAATCCTTTTCTTCACGCTCAAATCGACGTGTGCTATTCGAACTGGAATTTACTCTACCGCTGGTGGGCCCTTCCACTCCCAGGGAAAGGGAGCTCGACGTCGTCAGCTTCCGCTACCCGGATGAGCCAGCTAAGAGCAAGTTGGACATGTGGTTCCTTCAGTCGAGCCGCCATCAGGCCGCGTCGAAGAGGGGAACCCTGTTTTTCCCGGACGTCCACGAACATGTGGTAAAGTCGTGGGCTTTGCCCCAGTTGGCATGCACCCACTCTGCCACTCAGTCCTTATTCGCGCACGTTGACGGGGGTGTAGCCCACGGTTATGTGTGTATGCCCCTCGTCGAGGAGACCGTCGCCACTCACCTGTGCCCATCGATGTCTGCATTGGGCGCGGACTGCAGCCTGCCGTCCAAGCCCTGCAGGTTCACGGCCCACCAAGCAGATAAGGCGTACGGAGCGGCAGGAGAGGCAGTATCAGCTCTCCACGCCATGGCTATCCTTCAGGTATTCCAGGCGAAGCAGCCTAAATCCCTGGATGGCATCGCCTCTGTTGATGCTGACGTCATCGGGGATCTTCGCTCGGCTACGGACCTTTCGCTGATGGCCACCAAACGCTCAGCGCAAGCCATCGGTCACTCGATGGGTTTTCTGGTCATCCTCCACAGACACCTGTGGCTGACACTGTCACATGTTAAGAATTCTGACCAGAAAACTTAATGCTTAATGCTCCCATCACCCAAGCTAGTCTCTTTGGGAACGCGGTGGAAGCTGTCACGGAGCGTTTCTCGGAGACCCAGAAACGCGCTAAAGCCATGAACCACCTGATCCCACGTCGAGCGCCCCCGGCGCCCCCGCATTTGCACTCATCATCAGCTACTTGCCAGCCCATGAGATCAGTTAGACAGACAGCAGTGCCTCGCACCGGGCCGGATGCTCGCGCTTCCCGGGGCAGACAGTGGACAGGACCCGGGAGAAATAGCCAGGGCCAGAGAAGGAGCCCGCGCCGAGGGACGGACAGTACGCCCCCCTTCGTGTCAAAACCGTCTTCCTGATGGGGCGGGCAAGAGGAAGAGAGAAAGCAAAGGAGGACCGGCCTCCAAGCGCCATGTTCTTATGCATCGTGTCCCATGTTCAGTTGAGCGACGATATGGGTGAATGTTGTTTGTTCTTCAATAAAAGCATGTATCCCTTCACAAAAAGAGCTTTTCTTCCTCTTGCCCCACACATTGTGTCACATACCCTCTCACGAGACAATGTAGGGTCACACTCGATGACTATAATGGCATCTCATGGGCACGAGATCGCCAGCACCACACTCAGCCCATCGTAAGCTGCACTCCCACCGGAGTTTTCAGCCTTGCGGGAGTGTGGCTCCAGTCAAAATGCTACACTGGTAGTGGCTATGACCGCAGTTGAAGCATGCACTCTGAATCACTTTCTGGGCACGTGGGAATCAATTCCGGGCATTTCACCATGGGTGTGAGCAGGGCCGGAGTGGGACTCATTTTCAGCCCTGGAGTTTCATGCCGTAGACCGGCCCACTTTACTGACTATATTAAAATAATGTAATTAAAACCTCAGTATATAAGCAATAGTGCACTGTTCTGTACAGCCTTGTAATTCATTGTATTTTTTAAAAAATATTATTTTCTATTCAGCGCAATAACCGGGTATGCTCCCCCAGGATTTTTTTGAAAAATAAACCATTAAATGCACTTTCTGGAGAGTTTTGTGCAAAGAAATATAGAATAAAAGTAGGTCTAGCAAAGTCTTATATTTCTGTAAGTCACACAGATTAAACACAAATATGCTGGCTGAATAGATTGCTATAGTTTAGAAACACTGCTTTAATTATTGTATTTATGATGACTTTGTGAAATGTTAACTAAACAGCATGAGCTTCTTCCAGCTGGCCAGTAAGTTATTTCGCAAATTAATGCTATTGTTATAGCCTACATTTCTTACAGATAATCATGATGATCATTGCGTTTGTCTTACCGAAAGTGGTAGCTTTATGCAATTACAGTTTGTCTATAAGCTTCTTTTTTTTTAATTATTATTAATGCCGACAGTAAAGTGTTGCCAGATATTGCTGCGAAAAACAAGCAAAACAAAACAAAATAATAATAATAATAATCCGAAATTAGTTAATAGCTTGTGTTTTGGAAACAAGATTAATATCACTAACCCTAACATGCAACTTTCCACTTTAATAACTTTCTAAAGTGTCACATTAAATCAGGAAAAGGTCCAGGAGATTCCTGCACCTTTCCATTACGTGGATCTGGCAACACGGATGCTGCACTCGCGCTCTCATTCACAACGTGCTGTTCACTGCGCTCGTCTATGCGCTAGCTTCTCACAGCAACATGAATTGGAAACACTCTTGTGAGGTGGTTTAAACATGCCTAATTAATCATTCAAAGAGCATGAAATTTTATTTTTGAATGTAAAAAAATGACAGAGGTCCGAACCTCGCGGTGACCTCACATAATCCATTGTAATAAAGTTATTCTCATTCGGGGCACAGTATGCAATAGGCAATTGCTCTTCCTGCTTCTCCTTCTCTCGTTCTTCTTCTCTCAGTCTCTTTATCTTTACCTGTAAATCTCCCCTTCCCGAAGCTGAGCTTTAATTGATAATCTTTGCAATCTGATTATTTATGTCGGTCGTTTTAACTTATATCGTAAAACAGCTGTTTAGTTAGCCATTTGCATCTTATTATCTTGGGAAGCGTCGCGTTGGGATTCGTGGTGCGTGGCTCGCGCTTCTGTGAAAATAAATCCTGCTTTGATCGGTCATCTCAAACATTTTGCCATTGCCGATGAGCGGTGTTTGAGTGCTGATGATGAGGTCAGTTCTTATGGTGGTGGGTACGGCCCTGACTCGTAAGCGCTACTATTGTCCATGTTTCGTATCTCTTATTTTTTTTGTTCGCACATCTCTGGCAACTGACTTTTTTTGTGGGGCTGCGAGAAAATAATAATAAAAAATAGTGGGGCTGCGCTGTGACTGGAGCCTATTAGGGAAAACATTCACCCAGTGCTGTGACAACGCCGGCCCTCCTAGCCAATAAAACAGACCGGCCCACCGGGAATTCTCCCAGTGCTCCCGATTAGCCAATCCGGGACTGGGTGTGAGGCATAATTCGACACGGGTATTCGCTTCAGTTCAGACACAGACCACCTCGCTTTAACAGCATGATCTTGTCATTAACTTTGCCCCAAATCGTTCCTGTTCTGGGACAGGAAGTTCTCAGCCTGCTCGAGAAAGGCCCGGTTCTTGCACCGCAGTCTTGACAGATGCATCAACCTCAGGTGTGCATGGGCGTGACTGCCTCAGGCTTGTGGACAGAAGTGGCATATAAACCACTTGGAATTAAAGGCGGTATCCTTAGCCCTTGTAACGCCACGCCAGCAGAAGGAGCCCTCTCCCGAGTACTGACTGTGTGCCGCTACCTCTGCTTCACTGGTTACGTCCTGTCTGAGAGACATTTAAGCATGGCTTGGCTAACAGGCCATTGCAAAGTATTGCCAGTCTTACTGCCTTACCGAGCATTTTCTTGCCATTGTCTTGTGAATATCGTGTATGACCTTTGCCTGCCTCGTTCTGTTTTTGCCTCTTGGATTACCCCTTTGCTCTATTGTTTGGATTGGACTGCCACTTTGTGTATTACCTCTGCCTGCCTTACGTTATTGCTATCTGCTTACCGATTTTGTCTTGTTTGCTGTGGATTCTATTAAACAACTGCAAATGGAGTCTGCCTCGGCTTCCGCCTCATTACAGCCCTCAAAGCCTTCCGGTCACAGTTACAGCGTCAGCATGTACTGATTCGGACCGACAACATGTCGGTGGTTTCTTTGTTTCTGGTCCAGAGGTATATTTATAAGGGCAAGTCCCGGCTCGCCAGGCTCCGGTGAGCATAGCCAGACTCCTCGCCCCGTCGGCCCCACCTCTGCGTCTCGCCCTGATCATGCTCAAATCAAGTGTATGTGACAATTACCTCTCATCACATTGATCCACAGTGGAAAACGAAGACCTTTGTTCTGCAAACCAGAGTTTTAAATGAAGCCCATACTGCTAAAAACATTGGTGCGTTAATAAAAAAAATAAAAATGGGCGTTCCGTTGCCGACAATCTCTGCCTACGGTTTACCAATAACAACTGACTGGGTCATTTGACCAATCACAGCAGATTCGCATCACTCAAAGGAGGTGTTTGGGAAAATGAATCACCAAATGAATCATTTGGGAGTTGTTGAGCAAATTGGGTAAAAATAAATGCATATTATAAGACAAATAAAGTGTTTTTTATCCTTGCATGCACGTTAAACTGTTTTTGGGAACTCCCAAAACAAAAATAGGAACATTTCAAATGCTATGATAGGGGCTCTTTAATGAAATTGGTCTTGATAGATTCCTTGAGTAATACCGAGAACCAATTATGTCATATTTACTTGAATTTGCTGTCTGCCATTTTGCATTTCTTTAAAACTTACTTTTTCTATCTCCTTCAAGACTCTTTTCAACAAAACTGGCCCAGATCATATTCAGACCATGCCAGCAAAAACTTATCAAAAGCTTTTAAATAGACCAAGCCGTTCTTGAATAACACATTAATGAAATTGTAGGCATGATAACAAAGCTGATTCTGAGACTGTAAATCTGCAACACTTTGGCACATTGCCACCAAACGTTGAATGTATTATTGCCACCTCACATTGACCACACTATAATAATTTGATAACAGTGCCACCAATTTTTCAAAGGGGACAGACAAGATAATCATATTACAAATAATTTCTTACATTTTGACAAAAATAATTTCTTTTCAAAAAATTGACGTTAATTACTCATTATTGCACTTTTTCTCATTGGTCCTTTTTGTACTTGGCCCTGACAATTGCTGCTTGCAGCTATATTTGTTATTGCTATTTTGTACCGATGTATTTTGTATTATATTTTTATCTTAAAGAAAATCCCTTTAATCCTGAACTAGAACAACATTTAAAGTATGATTAAATTATCTTTATTTTATAGCAGTGCATATTTAGTGACTTTATTTTATAGCAATGCATATTCTGTACCTCCTCAGTGCAACTGTAGTCCAGCCATTCTTGCCTGTATCGGTCTAGTCCATCTGAACATCTGAGAGATTATAAACACATACATTTAGCTGTCAGGAAAGGACACATGCCTTGCTTGAATTAATGCAGAAAAACACATCAGACACTCAGATCTAATGCTGTTACCTTTGTAGACTATTGCACCACCCACAGCCTGATGTTAGGTTTGACTGGAGACATTGTACACAGGAAGTGTGCTGGAGGCAGGCTAGACACAGATATGCATAAAGGTTTCATTAGGTTTTAAGGTGTGCAATTGAGACTGATGTAGAGGAAAGCAGTAAGCAGTGATAAGTTTACTCACTTGGTAAGGGGCTCAACTCAAATGCAGAGTTATTGACAATCTTTGTTGTGTCAATCTCTACCCGATGATATTCATAAATAGTCCGTCGTTTAGCATCTATTGACAATACAACAATAAAGTATCAATACAGTAAAAATGATAACAGTGTAAAATGTACCATAAATTAAATTCGTTGACAATTTTACACCGACCTGGTGAAGAAGACAGAAAGGCCATGAAGGCATCAGACAGTCCCACTTTCACTGGATGCTCAGTGGAGTTGATTTTCTCCACAGACAAAGGAACCTGTTATGAAAAGCCAAAAGAAGCAAACTGGCCACTGTCAAAACCATGTTTTTTTCTTGTTTTGTAAATTCGAAAATCTGTGAGCAGATTATTTTACACTGCTTTGATGACAATAATTTTGAGTGGCAATGGAATTCTCACTGTTGGCTTTATGTGTGTTTAATTTATCTTGGTTGAACTAAGCCAAATGAAACATCTGAGGCTGACTCACGTCTTTGTAGCTGAAGACAATGGTCCCGTTGCCATGAAGAACAGTCTGGAAGGTGAAAGCTCCTTCAGTTTCTCGATCCTTTAGCCTCACTTTGTCCCACTGTACCACAAATATGTCACCTGGGGCATCAAAGTCAGGTTAAATTTCCACTGAACACTTCCTGAAATATTTGAAAGGGATAGTTCACTTTGAAATTAATTTTGGTATGTTTTAGCTTATCTCAAGGGCATCCAAGATGTAGGTGTCTTTGTTTCCGCAGTAGTTTCAATTTTGATATTTTTAGGTCAAACCGTTCTTGCCTGTCAGTCATATAAAGCAGGTCTATGGTCACCACCTTAAAGAGCATGTACTACAGAGAAGTCTAAATTAAACAGAATGATCTCATGAAGTAGCGTGTGTATGACACGCCAATTCGTATTTCCATTTTTGGCGTGCTATCATCACGCATAATCACTTTTCAGCGTGTTTATGAACGACGTTGACTTGACGTTATTACTGTATATATAAATGTATGACTTACCTCAACCCCGTCCCTAAACCTAACCGTCTCTGGGGTTAATGGCATTTATGACTGTTCACTTACCATCCTAGGAAAAAAAAAAGATCACTCCCCAGATGTAGATCTACATTTTGCTTCGTTTCGCGCGGACATTTGACAGCATGTACAGACACGCGGAATCACTCGGACGTTAATGGCGTAGACATACACCACGCATACACGCAGATAGCTCAAAATGCATACAGATAATGCAAATATGTTTACGCAAAAGTCATGATGTCATGTTGATTTAATGACTCCTAAATTTAAGTACACATTGATGGCCTAAGACACTAAATGTGTGCCTACAATACACAAAATGTGTCTAATAAACAACAGCCACAAAGAGCCCGAACCCTCAGATCACTTGAATGTGGCTGTGGTTACAAGACGTAAAAATGATACTGTTCGTTTTCTCACACAAACTGCTCGTTACGTGTCTTAGTCTTAGACTTTGTCTTAGACCATCAATGTGTACTTACATTTAGGAGTCATTAAATCATGTTTAATTTGGACTTCTCTGAGCATGCTCTTTGAGGTGGTGACCATAGGACGGTTTGACCTAAAAATATCAAATTTGAAACTACTGCGGAAACAAAGACACCTACATCTTGGATACCCTTGAGGTAAGCTAAAACATACCAAAAATTTATTTCAAAGTGAACTATCCCTTTAATACAGATTAAGAAATCTATTTCATCAATGATAAGAAAGCATATACTGTACTTGTTTTTAGAATTTAATCAGAATTTGGATATACTTTCCCATTCAAAAGTATGGAATATTTTTTGTTTAACTTAGTAAACACATTTTAATACTGTAAAATAGTATTACATTTTAAAATATCTGTTTTCTATTTGAATAAATGTAAAATAATATTAGTAATTCCTGTATTGTGTAGCTTGTGTAGCTTGTAGCTTTTTTTCTATTTGTTTATTGATTTTTTCAGTGACATAACAAAATCAAGAGGTAACAATTTGGGAATCAAAATAGTCAAGTAATGTGTAGCTTTCTAAGCTTCATTTTTTCTTTGGGGTTTTTATGAACCCAATCGACAATTTCGTAGTAAATAAACATAGTTCCCTTCATCTCAGCTGCATAAAATTGTGTCACTTTTTCTACATTACCTATTTATACAAAAAAAAAGTCATTTTCTTTTGTCCTAAAAAAAATCAATACATCCAATACCATCCTGGTACTAGAGCACAAATGCAATATGGAACGAAAATGATCACTTGCACACACACGTGCAAGTGCACACAAATACTGTACATAGTACACAGGTGTGACTCCAATAGAAAGCATTTTTATAGAAATTGGCAAATAAAATCAATAATTCCAACATAATTATTAAAATTCTCACACATAAATGAAGGCCTGGTACTAGATCACTAATACAATGTGGAATGAACATTACCACACACACATGTGCGCCTACACAGACACAAATACACACACAGATGGAGGTGTGACTGCAATAGAGGGCATTTTTATAGAAATTGGGAAATAAAATCAATAATTTCTGCATAAATAAAAATTTACACATAAATGATGGTATGGTATGAAAGAAAAAATGCAATATGGAAAGAACATGACTTCATACAGATCACATACACAGAAAGACACACAAACAAACAGGTGTGACTGCAAAACTGAGCATTTTTATTAAAATTGACAAATAAAATGAATAATTCCAGCATGAATCTAAATTTTTTTACACATAAAGGAAGGCCTGGCAATAGAGCAAAAATGGAATGAGCATGATCACACACACATGTGCGAGTGCACAAAAACACAGGTGTGTTTACTCTTCACTGCTGTTCCTATCCACCTATAGCTGTTTTTTTTGTTTTGTTTTTATTTACTTTTAAACAATTAATTTCTTATTCTAAAGTTAATCATTTTATACATTTTTAATTATTGAAATAACTGCAATCAAGTATTTTCTTTTAGTGGAAACTTATGTCGCATTATTACAAATTTATTTTGCATTACTCCAAATTTTATATAGCATTATTGCAATAACAAGATACTTCAAAAGACCTCAAACACCAATTATTCTAAACTTTGACAAAATCCTGATTTTATGTATTTTAAAATGTTTAAGTATTTATTCATAACAAAAGCTGTTAAAGCAGATCTATGCAGTTTTTTTTTTTTTACCTTAACTGAATTGCTTCTGAGTTATTGCAATGGTTATATGACTAATTTCGGGTTGAATGTTGTGCGAGAGTGGAAATTAACAGCAAATCCCATAAATATGGTTTCTTATGCTCAAACAGCATTAAAAAGGCTTACATTTTGGGCTAGACGAGCCAATGCGCATGTGCAGTTCATGCATCTCAGGACACTGTCTGTTGGTTTGGCAACCGAAGCTTGGCAGCTGCAGTGACGCAATGACTTTGGCTCTATTATTTAGAAGGTGGGACTTCAACATATTGCCTTTTGCAATTCCAACCATTAATAAGTAATATAAGTGCACCATCTTTGTATATCTAAAGCAGGAATTCTCAAAGTGTTGAGTTGCCACCATCGGATGCGCGAAAGGAAAGATTTGGTAAAAAAAGTGGGATTTTTCCATACAATAAAAAAAACAAAACATGAAACGTAAACAAACCTTTGTAATTGCTTTTATTTTAAATAAAAAATATATATATAATTTATTATTTTTTGATAGAAACGTAGAAGACAGCTGCTGTCTTCTTCTACGCACTGCAATCCTCTGCCCAGCATAAGGAGAGCTGACGTACATCCAGTGGTCTCCTGCACGGCACTCCGACTTGCAAGCAGGACCATCGGTAACTGAAGATCCCAGTCCTTTTGATCCTGGCTCACACACAGGGCTAGCTGGCCAGTGTTCGATTGTACCTCTCTACTAACCCATCTAGGGGTGTTGTCCTTGTCTTCTGAATGCCCAACTGCTGGCAAAACTCAGAGAAAACACAGGACTCAAAGTTCCTCCCCTGATCAGTATGCATCTCAGAGGGAACCCCAAACCGAGCAAACATGGACCACAGCCCCCTCACCACTGGTCCAAAAGTCATGACCTCTTCCCACGTAGGCCTCCTCCTGGCTTCCACCCAGTCAATGACTACCTGGGGCTCGGAGTCCTTGCGTTGCTCATCTGCCCATGCTACATTTGAATAAGGCAGTACTGCACAACAAGGCACCAGCATCCCCATCTCCGGGGTCATGTCAGCCGGTTCCTGCATCACAAATCCAGCCAGTTGCTCACATTGTGGACAGGATGCCATACAGGTGCGCCTTGACAACCCGTCCGCATTCTGGTGACTTTCCCCCTTGAAATGCTGAATGGTGAATTGAAACTCCTGCAGGCATTCCATCCACCGTGCCACCTGTCCCTCTGGCTCCCGGAAAGACAACAACCAACGTAGGGAAGCATGATCTGTTCGAATCACAAAATGGAGACCGCAGAGGTGATGCCTAAAACGGCTGACTGCCTCCACCACGGCTAAGAGTTCTCGTCGGGTCACACAGTATTTACACTATGCCCTGTTGAAGGCCCGACTGTAGTAGGCAATCACCCTCTCTCCTTTTTCCCTGTCCTGGGAGAGAACCGCACCCAGAGCTACATTGCTGGCATCTGTGTCCAGGATGAATGGCAATCTAGGGTCTGGGGTGGTCAAGACTGGCATATGACACAGAGCCTCCTTCAGGCTTTCAAAAGCCTACTGCTGTTCTGGCCCCCATTGGAACCGCTGTGATTTCTTTGTCAACACATGGAGGGGAGCAGCAACAGTGGCAAACCCAGGGACGAATTTTCGATAATACGACGCTAGTCCTAGGGAAGCTCGCAACTGCCTAAGACTGCACGGAACCGGCCAATCGTGAACAGCTGCCATCTTCTGCTCGTCAATGGCCACCCCTGCCGCGCTCACATAGTGACCCAAGAAGGTCACGGCTCTCTGCATCAGCTGGCACTTGTCTGGGTGCAATTTCAGACCAGCCTGGGCTATCCTGGTCATGACAAGGTCAAGAGCACTCAGGGCTGATTCAAAGTCTTTCCCATGCACTAAAATTTCATCTAAATAGACCAGGCACACTTATCTCGGAATACCGTGGAGCACCCGCTCCATCAGTCGCTCAAAGGTTGCTGGAGCGTTGCAAAGACCAAAGGGCATGGTCTTGAATTGCCAGAGGCCTGTCCCTGTCATGAAGACAGTCTTCGGTCTTGCGTCAGCACTTAGAGGGAGCTGCCAATACCCACTATGCAGATCTAATGAAGAGAACCACCTGGACCCAGCGATCTGATCCAAAGACTCATCAACCCGTGGAAGCGGGTAGGAGTCCTTGACAGTTACCTCATTCAGGCGCCTAAAGTCAACACAGAAACGCCAGCCACCATCCTTCTTGGGGACCAATACCACTGGCGAGGCCCATGGGCTTTCTGATGGCTCTATAATTCCCGAAGCTTTCATCTCTTCTAGGCTTTCATCTCTATTTGCGGCCAACTGTCTTGTGGGAGGTAACCGATGCGCATGTTACCGGATAGGGTAGGCATTTCCCGTATATATACAATGCTGTACCAACTTCGTCTGCCCGACATCACTGGCTGAGGCAGCAAAGAGGTTATCGTGGCGTCCCATTACTTACCATAATTTCTGCTTTTGGAGTTCCTCTAAACCCTCACTACTCCTCTCCCAAACAGCTCTTGCCGCTTGCATCAAAACTGGGTTCTCCCCAACTTGACTGCCATTCCCACTATCAGAGACAGCTGGCGGTGGAACGGTGGAAAGCTCGACCGCAGAGCCAAACAATGGAATCTTTGCAGACCGTAATGTTGGTGACAAACTGGAAGAGTTTGGACCTGGGACCCCCTGGGCTTGTGAGCTAGGATTCAGAAGTCCCACATAGCGCCACTGAGGACCAATAATGGTGATTGTAGGGCCAGTATCCAACAAGGCACGCACCAGTTGTCCATCCACTTTGCCCTCTATTTGGCAGCATTCTACTGGACTAGCCCCAGCTAGAGTCGATCCACATAGAGGTTTTGAAATGTTTGATGGGCCGAGAGCACCTCCCTCTACTCCGGCCCCCGTCCATTTTCTGACGGCGGAGTGGACACAGCCACATCCAGGGTTGCACATTCCCGACGCAAATGACCTGTTTTTCCACAGCGCCAACAAACCACAAGCTCCCTTTGGGACACATTCACCTTAGAAGTTGGTGAGTGAGCCTGCTCCCCGGAGCATGCAGCAAAAACCCTTGGGCGGCCAACATTATTGTTACTTAACGTTCCGCTTAGCCGTTCCTCCAATATCCCCTCTATAACCTGTGCTTGATCAAGGGCTTCATTAAAGTTAGATGGCTGAGCTATTCGTACTGGCTTCCGTAACCGATCTGGGGTCAATCCTCGTACAAACGCATCCAGAACCAATGCATCCTTCACGTTTTCACTGAATGTTGAGTAACTGTGATGGGCTAAGTGTCGCAGGTCAGCCATAAACACACCTAAGGGCTCTTTTGGCTGACGGATACGCTCCTGAAACTGCTGTCATAAGGCCATCGGGGGTGTAGTGTCCCCAAAGCGGCACAAAGGAGTAAGTGGTTGTCATGTCTATACAGCTGACAGCAGCAGTTTGTTTGAAATTACAAACCTGTTCACCTAAAGGAAAACTTGACGAAGTGCTATTAGAAGACATCCTGTCATAGTTGGTACATAACGGTTACCGTAGATGCAGCAAAATACGGTTGAAATACGGTTTGTTGCTGTAAAATTAAATACGGATAAAAGTCTGTAAAATCTAAAATGTTGCTACTGTATTTTTAACAGGAAAACTCTGGTAACCACAGCTGCCAGTTTTTCCCCTGTAAATTTAACAGATTTTTTTTTTTTACAGTGTATTTGTACACCACTGAGGACATATTTATTAGTAAAAATATTGATATAACAAATTACATAAAAAGTTGCACACAGTCCCTTTAAGGCCTGAATTGAGCTTCTAACAAAGGACTAAGTGGTTGTCATGTCTACACAGCAAACCATAATAATGTGACTGTTACGTAACTGCAAAGTCATCTGATGACCAAACTTTCATCATGGCAATGTTACTAGTCGTGTTGTCACAAGAGTGAAATTCCTGTATATTCGTTGCCACAATGTAACTTTGTGACCAAGTCAGTTAATAATTGCGATATTATTCAAAAATATTAAAATGTACAATATTAATTACAAGCAGTTTTTCTTTGCTTGGTTGTGTACTTTGCTTGGTTGTGTATATGCAACACGCATTTGAAAGAGGCACTGGACAACACAATTTGTTTGAATGCAAAATACAATTTCACCGCTATGGAAGTAAATCTCACACTGAGTCCCTTTAATATTCATTTTACTCAATGTATATTTTTCTCAACATATTTAAAGTTATAAAAAGTGTCCCAAACTTGTATTTTTCTTTAATTTAAGAGATTGTGGGTAATATTAACAAAATGATTCATTGAAAAAAAAAATGTTATTATTTCTCATCTTCAAGTCATTAAGAATCCATATGACTGTTGTACGAATGGCCTTAATCAAAATGCCCTAGCCCTCAGAAAATTTTCCCCCTCTCCCCTGTTGTTATCGGCCCTAAAACCAGTTCTCTTCCAAGGCTGTTATCACCTCTGCTCCGGCGAATGATCACAGCAAGAGACTGTGTCTGCAGCCCTCACAGACAGGACAGGAGACCAGACAGCTCTACCCATTTGGTCAAAGACTATAGAGATAAACTTCCAATACACAAGGACAGTTACTCCATTCATACCCATAAACTTTCTCAAATGTTTTATAGTATTTCTCCTGTGTTTTATGCATTGATTTTATGCATGTCTCTGTTTTGTTAGTTATGACTTGTTCTGATTCTTTAGTTATGTTAGAGTAACTTCCAATGTTGGTATACAAAGATGATGTATCACTGCTTTAATGTCTTCAAATCCCCTCTTTGTTGTTAAATAATCCTCTTTTGACTTTATAATAAATGGTTTACAATGTGTTATGATAAATTGCATCAGGATATTTTCATCATACTTGTATAAAGAATGCACACATTCTCCATGCCACCATGAACATCCAAATGGAGATAAGATGGAACAAAGACTTTCTGCAGGTCATCTTAGATTGGTCACCTCACCAAATGGGTGTAAACTGATAGGACCCATAAAAGTATCTGATTAGGTCAGATCCTTGGCTCAATATCTTTGAGACAACATCCTACTGTCTTCTTTCGGCAACTTCATCTTCAAGTTAACTTCTTTGGATTCAACGTGGACCACCCCAAGAACCCAAACAAACGCTTTAGTGCACTCCTGGCAAAAATCATCAAGAATATCCTGCATCTGGACTTGTTCAGCAACCAAAACCAATGCAAGTACCCATTTGCAGCCTTTAGATACGTTTCTTGAGTTATTGTGCCCCTTTAAGGTGACACCGATTCTCTGATGTTTCTCTTAGGTTGTGGTTAACTGATTGTAATCTTGCCATTCTTTCTTCACTTGTCTTTACTTTCTTGATTCTGTATACAATATTTGCTTGGTTTAGTTGTGTGTGTAGCCAACCATAGTTTAATTTATTAAACCATTATATTCACACTTCATTGTCTCTGTGTTTGCAACTAAAATATCGAAGTCACTTGAAACATCTTGATCTAGCTACTTATGCTATTACCATGCTAGTACTTGATTTACCTTAGCTGGAAAAGGTTTTTTGTTCATTGGATGAACTGATTAATTATACTATTATAAATTACAATATATAAATTATGAATTATAAAACATTCAAATATGTATAATTTATTATAATTTGTTAAAATTAATTACTGTATATAGACATATATTTTAAAGAAACTCATTACACTATTTATTTTTGCAATCACACTTGATTTGAGATTCACTAATCCTGATCTCACATACTCCTTCCATTAAACTGAACTCACCGTTGTCCAGATACCGTACAGTGGAGTTTTTAGAAAAACTCGGGTCGAAGTTTGCCATAAGTGGAGCAATATACTGCGTCGCTGTCAGCATGCGGTGTGTTGTCTCTCCAGTGAAAATAAACCCTATAAACATAAAAGAGTTCAGGCATAAGATACAAAATTTCAAGAAAGAAAAATTAAATATATTTTGTTGTAGATGTTACACAAAAAGTTATGAGTTTATTATCTGTTCATTTGGATAAATATTTTGTGCATTAAAATAGCCCTTTATTACATTCCAGGATGGAACATAACCCTTTCAGTTTAATAATAATATGATAAAAGCTTAAAATATAGTGCACGAGCCCCGGTATTCGCCGAGCCCGTGTCTCCTTCCATCACCTACACATAAAGAACCTTCAGTCCATCACAAAGGGTTGTAGTCATAACCCGAGGCGTTCCCTTTCGAGGGAACCTACACTGCGTTGTTGAAAACGACTCTTTGGGGAACGAATGCCCACTAGGCCATGCACCGAAACAGGCCTGCCCTAGAGTGAAACTGAACTCAGGCACTCAGCTAGGACGAGAGCACATGTGCGCCAGCGAGGTGCAGACTATAGAACCTGATAAAAGTGTGGAGGGTAGCCCAGCCAGCTGCAGATCTCCTGGAGGGGCACTCCTGAAAGGAGGGCCCTAGAGGACGCCATGCCTCTAGTTGAATGAGCCCTTATGGCCAAAGGTGAAGGCAAATTGTGCACCTTGTAAGTCGAGGCAATAGCCTGAACAATCCAATTACTAATGGGTTGTTTGGATGCAGGAAGCCCCTTCTTAGGTGACCCAAAACACACTAACAGTTGGTCCGACCTCCTCCAAGAAGAGGACCTCTCAAGGTAAATGCTCAAAGCTCTGACAGGGAAAAGCAAATGGAGCTTCTCTTCTTCTGCCGACACATGAGGTGGAAGATGAAATGGCTGCAGGACCATTGCTGTGTTAGAAGGCACCTTAGGCACATAAACCCAGTTTCAGATGCAGAATAGCCTTAAAGGAGTAGTTCACTTTTCAAAAAACTTTTGCTGATAATTTACTCACCCCCACATAATCCAAAATGTCCATGTCGTTCTTTCTTCAGTCAAAAAGAAATTAAGGCTTTTGATGAAAACATTCCAGCATTTTTCTCCATACAATTACTTCCGTGGGAACAATACGGTTCAAGGTCCAAAAGACACTTTCCGTACAAACTGCAAACTGTTCAAAGGGCTTCAAAAGATTCCTGACAATGTATAAGGGTCTTATCAAGCGAAACGATCAAAATGAATAAATCTTTTTCCGAGTCATTTGGTTAATTCAACGAACGAAACAAACGAATTGACTTGAAAAAGATTTGTTTATTTTGTTTATTCTGTCACAGAACAGAGCAAGGTGACCATTTGAGCTTATAAAACTTAAACTTTGTTATTTATTTATTAAATGAGCGATCGTTTCGCTTGATAAGACCCTTATTCATTGTCTGGAATCGTTTAAAGCCCTTTGAACAGTTTGCAGTTTGTACTGAAAGTGTCTTTTGGACCTTGAACTGTTTGGTTTCCCACTGAAGTGCATTAAATGGAGAAAAATGCTGGAATGTTTTCATCAAAAACCCTAATATCTACTTTTTGACTGAAGAAAGAATGACATGGACATCTTAGATGACATGGTGGTGAGTAAATTATCAGCAAAAGTTTTTTCAAAAGTGAACAACTCCAAGCAGGCGGGTGTCACTGCCAGGGCTTGGAGATCTCCCACCCTCTTAAGAGAGGTAATAGCTGGGATAATAGAGGTAATGGGAGTCAGATTTATCACTAAAGCCCACCAATCAGTTTTGGTCAGAAATAATATTAAACAATTTTAATATGACTGACAGCCTGAATCTACAACTTAACAATAATATAAAATCCAACAATACAACAATATAAAATCCTCCATAGAACTTATTATACAGGACAAAGGATGTTTAAGATGGGTTTTAATCAATCAAATATTTGCACACAGTGCACAAATGATACAGCAGACGATTACATGCATGCCTTGTGGCTTTGTACACCGGTCCAACGATTTTGGACTAAGGTTTGTGAGGACTTATCAATATGGCTTAATTGTAATATACCTACTTGTCCAAAGCTATGTTTATTGGGGGATTTAAATGATATCAATATGGAGATCAACAAAGCACATATGGTCCTTACCACTTTATCTGTCGCAAAGAAAACTATCCTTTTGAATTGGAAAACTAAAAACAATCTTAGCATTAACCAGTATAGAAATCTCCTGTCGGACCACATCAGTCTGGAATCCATGTTTGCTTTTAACAAATTCCGATCAGCTGATTTCGATCATCTCTGGGCCCCGCTGATTAATTATGTCACTTAATGGGAGGGAAGGGTTCACGGAGGGATATGGGGTTCTGCATTGCGATCAGCGCAAACCCGTAACTAGTTTGTGCTCTTGCCCAGTAGTATGCAGTTAGTATAAGCAACTGACCAGTCTGTGCCCAGCAGTCTACAGTTAGCACAAGTCCGTTACCAGGTTATGGACTGGTCGAGTGGCTTACAACTACTAGCCCAAGCCATCTTACAGTCTATGGGCCAATCTGTTACCCAACAACTAGCCTAAGCAAGCTCACAGCCTGTGGTCCAGTTCGACATCCAGTATCCAGCCTAGGCCAGCTCACAATCTGGCATCTTAAAGCCAAAAGTCTGGCATCTTAAAGCCAGCGCAAGTCAGCACACAGTCTGTTGAACTGTCAGATAGCCTGCTGTTAGCTACTGTCAGAACACAGTTTGTGGACTAATCTGGCATCCAACAACCAGCCCAAGTCAATCCATAATATGTAGACCAGCCTGGCATTCATTCAATAACCAGCCTAAGTCAGATCACACTCTGTGGACCAGTCTGGTATTCAATACTCAACCTAAACCAGCTTTCAATCTGTGGACCGACGTGGCATCTAACAACCAGCCTAAGTCAACACACAATCTGTGGACCAGTCTGGCATTCAACAACCAGCCTAAACCAGCTTACAGTCTGGCATCCAACAACTAGCCCAGGTTATCTCATAATCTGTGGACAAGTCTGGCACCTTGAAGCCATCGCAAGTCAGCCCACAGTCTGTTGAATTGTCAGATAGCCTGCTGTTAGCTACTGTCAGAACACAGTTTGTGGACCAGTCTGGTATTCAACAACCAGCCTAAGTCAGATCACACTCTATGGACCAGTCTGGTATTCAACAATCAACCTAAACCAGCTCTCAATTTGTAGTCCGACGTGGCATCTAACAACTAGCCTAAGTCAACACACATTCTATGGACCAGTCCGGCATTCAACAACCAGTCTAAACCAGTTCAAAGTCTGGCATCCAACAACTAGCCCAGGTCATCTCATAATCTGTGGTCCAATCCGATATCCAACAAATAGTCCAAGCCAGATCACACTCTGTGGACCAGTCACAACTGACAAACGAGCCTAGTATCTAATAACCAGTCCAAATCAGCTCACAGCCTATAGGCTAGTCTAACATCCAATAATCATCTCAAGCCATCTTACAGTTTGTGGACTAGTCTGGCATCCAACAACCAGCACAAGTCGGCATTTAACAACTAGCAAATGCCAGGTTACAATCGTCAGTCCAGTCCGGTATCCAACAACCATCACAAGCGAGCTTACAATCTGTGGATCAGTCTGGCATCGAACAACCAGCTCAAGTCATCTGCGGCCTAGTTTGGCAGTCAACAACTAGTCCAAGTCAGTTCACAAACTGTGGTTTAGCCTGGCATCCAGCATTCAGCCCAAGTCAGCTCAAGGTCTGTATACTAGTTTGGCATTTAATAACCAGCACATGTCAGGTTATAATCGGCAGACCAGTCCAGTATCCAACAACCAGCCCAAGCGAGCTCACAATGTGTGGACCAATCAGGCATCGAACAACCAGCCCAAGTCAGCTTAAGATCTGTGGTCCAGTCAGGCACCCAACATCCAGCCCAAGCGAGCTTACAATCTGTGGATCAATCTGGCATCGAACAACCAGCTCAAGTCATTTGCGGCCCAGTTTGGCAGTCAACAACTAGTCCAAGTCAGCTCACAAACTGTGGTTTAGTCTGGCATCCAGCATTCAGCCCAAGTCAGCTCATGGTCTGTAGACTAGTCCGGCATTTAATAACCAGCACATGCCAGGTTACAATCGGCTGTAGTCCAGTCTGGCATCCAACAACCAGTTTAAGTCAGATCACACTCTGTAGACCAGTCTGGTATTCAACAATTAACTTAAACCAGCTCTCAAACTGTGGACCGACATGGCATCTAACAACCAGTCTAAGTCAACACACAATCTGTGGACCAGTCTGGCATTCAGCAAGCAGCCTAAACCAGCTTACAGTCTGACATACCACAACTAGCCCAGGTTATTTTATAATCTGTGGACAAGTCTGGCACTTTAAAACCAGCGCAAGTCAGCCCACAGTCTGTTGAATTGTCAGATAGCCTGCTGTTAGCTACTGTCAGAACACAGTTTGTGGACCAGTCTGGTATTCAACAACCAGCCTAAGTCAGATCACACTCTGTGGACCAGTCTGGTAGTCAACAATCAACCTAAACCAGCTCTCAATCTGTGAACCGACGTGGCATCTAACAATCAGCCGAAGTCAACACACAATCTATGGACCAGTCTGGCATTCAACAACCAGCCTAAACCAGTTTACAGTCTGACATCCAACAACTAGCCCAGGTTATCTCATAATCTGTGGACCAATCCGACATCCAACAACCAGTCCAAGCCAGATCACACTCTGTGGACCAGTCACAACTGGTAGACCAGCCTGGTATCTAATAACCAGTCCAAGTCAACTCACAGCCTATAGTCGAGTCTAACATCTAATAATCATCTCAAGCCATCTTACAGTCTGTGGACTAGTCTGGCATCCAACAACCAGCACAAGTCGGCATTTAACAACTAGCAAATGCCAGGTTATAATCGTCAGTCCAGTCCGGTATCCAACAACCATCCCAAGCGAGCTTACAATCTGTGGATCAGTCTGGCATCGAACAACCAGCTCAAGTCATCTGCGGCCCAGTTTGGCAGTCAACAACTAGTCCAAGTCAGTTCACAAACTGTG